ATTCTATTCTATTCTATTCTATTCTATTCTATTCTATTCTACATCGCTTGGCCTTCGACAGACCGGACACTGTCGCCTCTGCTCCACCAGGGGGCAGACGTGATGCATTTATGACGAGGAGGACGGAAAAGAAGAAGAAATGGCGTGAGGCTGAACTGTCGCAAACTGTAGGCGTCGCGAGCCTGTGGCAAGTCGGAACAGTCCAAACCGGTCGTTGTGTCAGAAAAATGGCAGCCTTCAGTAGGTATCTGACGGCGAGGAACTCGTCCGTGGCAGGCGGCGTCCTGCTGGTTCTGTACCTGCTGAAGAGCAGGAAGCGGACGCCCAGACACAACGGGTAAGTGGGCCGCGGGTTAAAGAGTCCAGTTCGGCAGAAAACGCGGCTTTCGGCTGAGTTTGCGACGGCTGAGAGAAATGCTAACTAGCAGCCGCTAGCTCCGCCGCTCTGACAGGTGACAACGACCTGCTGCTCGGATACTCGACTCACCTTCATTTTGAGCGAGCAGGAAACTTTTTTTTTTGCTCGGAGCCGTTCGTCGTGCCCACCGGGTCAAACCCCAACACAACGCCGGACAACGGGCGTCTTTGTGCTCCGGGAAGGACCGATAGTGTCCAGCAAAGACTGGCCGGTTTGTGCGACTAACTTGGTGACACCTGACTGTCGTGTCTTTGTGTTGGTGGCTGTCGTTGACTTTATTGTTTGACACCTTAGAGGAGCTGCACCTGACCTGACGTCCACTGCCATAAATAAACAGCTGCCTATATGATTAAAGCATTCAACAGAAATACATGATCACACTCACAGAGATCCTGTATTGATAAGGATAGCAGTAATATATAGTCAGTATAATGGACAGTTTTCTGAGTCTTCACTGCCAGAAATCGACCACAGAGACCACATGTTGAATTTATTTCTTATTATAAATATACAACAGACCTGGTGATGTTCAAATCCAGACTAAACACTCACCTGTTTGGCTTTGCTTTTCTCACTTCAACCTTCATATCCACATCTTGTGTTGCTTGTATTGTTGCTCAATCTACTTTTGTATTAGTTGCTTTCTTATGATTATTATTATTATAATAACAAATGTAATGCCACTAGACTATGAGACCCGTCTAGTCGGATGCAAACGACACCTTTACTGGACTTTCTGGTGTTTCATAAACCGGTCTTGTTCTTACAGGGATGACGAAACACATTAAATCCCGTCAGATTTGTAGGCGTGACAACTTTTGATTTATATATTCATAAGACGCTGCTACCACAGACATGCTGAAGAGCTTCATCGTGTCCATGTTTAATCTTTTATTTTTATCGTAGAGCGCGAGGAGTGGAGGATGTGTGGATGTGGTTTTACTGTGTGTCACCACATGAATCTAGTTTATGAACCTGTAACATTCCTGGAAAACTGTTGATCGATGCATTTAATAGACTGTTTTTATTTAAACTTGCAAATTCAAATCAAGTAACTTCACAACATGATTGATGATTGATGCAAAGGCCATGTTAGCTTTATTATTACATATATAATACATATAATCTACGTCACCCACACTGCTGCAGCACCACCAGGAATAGCTGCCAAACTTTTCTTGTGTCAAGTTTTTCTTGTGCTCAGAATGGTATTATTTGATATATACGGGACACCTGTGGGCTATGAACGTCCTCACAGTCTGATGCTGTTTGTTTATAATCAGTCTGACTTGTTGTTTGTTGCAGCAGACAGGGAGGTTCACATCTAGTGCTGACCACAGAGGTACGTCACACCTTGTTTGACCGTTTAAGGGCTTTAAAACTACCATGACATTTGTCCAACATGGTCAGCCGTTACTGAATTTCCTGTTCTCGTGTCTCTTCGTGTAGAAAGATGGCAAAAAAGACAGAGCAGCGGTGGACAAGGTGTTCTTCCTCAGAATCCTACGGATTCTGCGGATCATGGTGCCTCGATTCTTCTGCATGGAGGTACGGTTTGAGGCCGGGGATGTCTGTAACGTGTCTAAAACTGTTTAAACCCCAACTGAAGGTAACCTGTTTGTATGTTCTGATATTTTTGCATCGATGCTACACACTTATCCCCGCTGCTAGAGTCAAACCGAACAGTTAAAGTCTCTCCTTTTTAACTTGGATGTTATGGTGCAGAATTTGATCTGATGTCTGCGGGGCCTGGCTTTGTGGTCGTCATCACACCGTCCGTAATAAGGTCTTAAACCTTGTGAAAATGTGGCGCGAGCAGCACGCCAGCAGACCAACACCATCTGCTGGTCTTCTGCATTTCACCTGCACTCAAAGCTTAATGTGTCTGCCTGTGTTAAAGCATACAAGTATGTTAGATGTTAGCCATAATGGGACTTGCGTAGGCAGCTTTTTTAAAACTAAAAGCAGATCCGTTCAGATGCAACAAACAGCTGAGAACTGAGGCCTAAGCACCTCCTGTGTCGGTGCACATGGCCTGTAGATTTGCATTGTTTAATATAAAATGTGTTATTTAAAGTGTGTAACTGCAGGGTGTGTATGAGACAGATGTGGCTCAAAGTGTAAGCACTGGTTCACCTTTTGAAAAACGTGATTGAATGCGTTGTTAATAATTGCTGCGCAGAGACCTTTGACACAGAAACATAGGTTCACAAGCCAAAGTCGCAGCCACATGGCTCCCGTTATCCGATCAGTGAAGCAGATATGAGCAGAGTGAAGGACAGGGCTTTATGGTCGGCTGTGCTGTACACATTGAGTAACTGTCTAACGAATCTGTGTGTCTTCACTACAGACTGCCTACCTTCTCCTTATCGCCACCATGTTGGTGACCAGGACCTACTGTGATGTATGGATGATCCAGAACGGCACCATGATCGAAAGGTCAGGCTTTGGCTTTGACTTATTCAAAGTTTTAAAGGAAGATTTACCCGTTCATGGCTTGAGAAGTAGTTTGTTTGTTTTATGTTGTCGCCATGTAGAAGCCATTGCGACCCTCCACACGTGAATAAACACTCAGCTGACTGTTGGGAGAGACTTGTGCCCCTTACCTCAGGTTCATCCACAGACCTCACTGCTAATAGTTTTCATGCCAAAACCTGAAAGCCGAACACAACCTCAGATTTAACCTTGTCATTTCAAAAAGGCCTCGACTTAAAAAGTGGTTCATATCAAATAAGCAGGACTGAGGCTGTTCAGGGCCTGAGACAAGAAACCTGTAGCTCTCCATGTAATTCAAAGATGAACCAATGCAGACAGAATATTTGTAGCTGGTTGTTTGGTTGGTAAAGCAACTCCCATGAAAACTGCTGATAACAAAATCTGAGTGAAGAGGCTGCAGTGTTGAGACTCAATGTCAAACTGAGGCGGGTAGTCAGCTTTGTCTCTGCCCAGTTGTCTTCATTTGAATGCTTCAGGTCCATTTAGAAAAGTGTACAGGGTCCCTCATTTAATTATGGACTGTCATACAAAATTTAAATGTGCAAAACGGGTTCAGGACCAGATCAGACCAACAACTGGTCGTTCACGCTCATCACTAGTTGGGTTCCCTGTCCGTACAGCGTCCTGGCTCTGATTGTTTTTATGCATTTTACAAAC